GATCTTCTGTTTTAAACACAAAAAAAAAATTTAAACACCATAATATTTTTCTTAAAAAGTTTTAATATAAGATTTAAACTAATTAATCAATAAATATATGAAATGGATCTAATTTTTTTCCATAAATTTTTAAAAAATGAAAAGTGAAAGATTAAAACGGTGAATATCTATCTATTTTTTACTATAAATATATTCGTCAAATATATTTACAAATAAAAAAATGTAAATATATGTTATAAATATATTTAAAAGTCAAAAAATGTAAATATACTTTATAAATCTACCATATTATATGTATATCATCTATATATTAATTGAGGAGACATTAAGGTGAAAAATCATATGTGTCAATCAAAGAGGGTTTTAACGAACAAGTCATTTAAATTAACCAATGAGAACATTTCAATTAAAAATACATGTCATGGTTGAAATTTTTACATATTCTTATTAATTTTATAACATAACCCCATTAATACATATTTTACAAATCTAAGTCCAAAATGTAAAATTTAGATTTAACATACCATCAACTTTTTATATATATAAAAAAACTTTTTATATATATAAAAAAACTTTTTATTATTATATTTATAGCAATATTATTTATTGTGGATAATTTATTTAGATTAATATGAAATATACAAATATTTTAACTATGATAGTCTATTATATATATATATAACTTCACTTATAAATATTTACATATTTCATTGTCGAAAAAATATATATTTTTTTCTTATGTTCGACAAATTCATATAACTCTAAAATTTATATGATTTATCGCATAATTTATAATTCACATAAATAATAAAAATTAATTTTAATTACACTTAAGATATATTAAAATAAATAACATTTTCATATGTTTGGATCAATTTTACAGATAAAAGTATTAAAACTAATGGCATCAAAATATGCTTGATCAAAATTTATCTTTATTACATCTATCCACAATGCATACACATTAAAATATGAAAATCGATTAAAAACATATTCAACCATTTCATCCCACGCTTAGTGTGGGTCAAAATCTAGTATAAGTAATATACGGATCGGATAGAATATTCGGATTTTTAAATTTAATATTTGTGATTTGCTTCGGTTTAGACAAATACTAAATTTGACTATTTACTTTGCTTTGATTCAAAACGGATATCCGAATTTTTTGATCGTCGAAACGAATACCGAATCGGATCAAATTTAACGGATAATTTGCCCGCCCTAAGCCCAATCCAAAGAGGAGGATGACTCTTTTGGTTTTAGTTTCAGAATATGATTACAGTTATTGGTGGGAAAACATGATTTCGGAACGAAAATTTTTGGGAACGGAAATGGGAATGAGACGGAAATTTGGAAATCAAAATACGTGTCCCATTCATGTCAAATATATAATTTGGGATGTGACATGTACGGTACGAAACAGACAGGAACGAAATAGGAATTTCCGAAAAAAAAATAACAAACGAAAATTGTAAAATCTAAATCACGTCTACCACATTTATGAGAAAAATAAAAACCCATGACAATAGC